TTTACTAGAAATTTCGTGATGCTGATAGGACGATTCTCTAGCTTCAGCAGGTGAAATGATCTCGAACAGTCTATGTTGTGGACAATTAGCATTCAAGTTGAGTCTAAGGATGACGAAACCTCGAGGACTGCACCTGCCTTATAAGCCCCATGGAATCCAAAACCGGTCGAGGGTTGTCAAAGTGATTTCACCAACCTCATCTGTAGTCTTTTTCGTCTGGACAGGATGCATCTTGCGTTTTCTTATGTAGGAAGAATTAAACTTCGTAATGATTTTATCTTCTTGTAAGGTTAACCTAGCGTAAATCTGGGGACCCACCGCACCAGACATTGTCATCTGTTCTCGTCAGTATAAGCCCATTGGTTCATTGATTGATATCACGTACATTGATTTCAGTCACGTGTTCTTCGGATAGATGACATGTCATTCTATTCGTTTAAGGCTGAATGTCTTCTCGCTTGTGAATGGACATCCTGTTTCGATCTTGTTTGGGAGCAATATTCTCAACCAATTTGTCTGACTCATCCTTTTTACGTCGGGGAAACACTGATTTTTTTTCTAAGAGAAATTTCACACTGGTGGTCTGAAGAGCATTTTTCTGGAGAGATATGATCTATTCGGAGAGGACAGACCCGATGACTCATCAGTTTTCTTGGTACAGAACAAGCCTTCCTATATACATCCTTTAAAATTAAAGCTACCCTGTCGAGAAGTAACCATTCTCGGCTTTTCAGCACAGATTGGCTTCACTTACAGGACGAAATCTCTACAGAAACCATTCCAGTTATCTGTCAGTTACTCTGAAAGCCACTTGGAGAAGAACTGTTGTTTTCACTGAGATGTCCTGTCATCACAAGATGAAACAAAGCGGCACGTGTCACTGACAGTTTCAGTTTAGATATGGCATTACTCTGATGGTTTATTTTCTGCTTGGGGGCTTGACCATCATGCCATAATTCCCGTAAAATTGGGAGCAGAACATGGTTAATTTTGATCTGTGATGGTACAAAATAGAGGCTGTTGACTTTCTACCGGCTGCAGGAAACTGAGCTAGATGGTATCGACCGAAACGCTTGTCAAGCGCAGATGCAGTGGTGCAGTCTATCACTGCTTGTTCAATTTGGTTGAATATTAACATCAATTATTCATCGTGGTGAGCTTCCCAGACGAGGAGATATCCGTTCAGGAGACTCTCAAAGTTTTGAAATGCTTTTATTACTCTGCCACAATGAAGAAATAATCCTATCACGAAATCAGTATACTTTAAATTCGCTGCAGCGAATAACCACATCGAAAAAAGAAGTGTAAAAGGGAACATCAAAGTAACTCAACGATAGGACAAATACTGGTATCGCGACCAAAATCAAAAGGTACCATAAGGTTTACTTTGTGAGCACACTGGCTGATAGATGAATAGATAGATAGATAGATAGATAGATAGATAGATAGATAGATAGATAGATAGATAGATAGATAGATAGATAGATAGATAGATAGGTAAATAGACAGCTAGATACTGCGTCAAATGTATGAATCGTTGTGTGATGCTGTGAGGTGACTGTGATTTTCAGCACAGACTTCCTTCTCTCAAACATTCTTAGCTGTGTATGCTGCGACAAATCTAAAACTAGATGTTTACTTTCGCGCAGGTTCAATTTGGTGTTTTTTGGGAAGAGGGATCTGACTGAAGTTAGGATATTGGGTTTACCTAAGAATCTTAGGTAGCGATTTAGTCCCGCTAGTGAAGCCATTCCATGCTGAAAAGCCCAGAAGCACTGTGCAGCTGCTTGTGTCTTATCACTCAACAGTGCGCATCTTGTCTAAGTGAGCATTGATCACCTTGCTGCTCAACAGCTCCAGGCCAAGCAATTAAGAGCTCAACCACTAGCCGAAAGTTCACAGGTTCGAAGCTCTCTGCATTTCGTCAGATGCGCACTGCTGATGAGTACAGTGCTTTTTGGCTCTCCAAACAAACTTGAGTGAGGTCACTGACAAAACGAAATTCCAATTGAAGATGGATGGATAGATAGGTAGATGATGACGACCACACAGGTTCTTGGCCACTGTTCATTACCACTCAGCCCCCAACGTGTAAGACTGTGAAGCCACTTTCGATTTCACTCTGCGCAAGGTGAAATAATCTGACTCACGCAGTTACGACGAAAACTGTGCCCATCGATAATTTCCTTCGGCGCTACGAGCATACGATATTTCGCAATATTTCTGGTTACACGAATAAACCACACATGCTTTCGCGAAATTTTCAGTGAGTTTGCCGATTATGTCAAACATTTTGAAGTGAAAAATATTGGTTTGTAGCCACACAAACGACGTTCAATGGGAACACATGAATCCTAGGTAATGATGCCCCTAAACCGATTTAAGCAAGCATCGATGATTCATTCGAATTTTCAGCTTGTTCGTCAGTTCGTGATACTGACATACCACTCCTCCAGCTTCAGCACGCGTCATGATCTCAAACAGTCTATATTGTGGACAATTTACATTCAAGTGGATGATGAACACTCGATGACTGCACCAACCCATAAGCTCCATGAAAGGAGAACCGGTCGCGGGTTGTTAAAGTGATTTCACCAAACTCATCTGTAGTCTTTTTCGTCTGCATAGAATGCCTCTTTTGTTCACTTCTTATGTAGGGAGTATTCGACTAGTCAATGGCTTTATCTCATTGCAAGGCTTCCGTAGCGCAAATCTGGGGACCAGTCGCTCCAGACATGGTCATCTGTTCTCGTCAGTATAAGCCCATTGGTTCATTGATTGATATCACACACATTGATTTTAGTCACGTGTTTTTCGGATAGATGACATGTATTCGTTTAAGGCTGAATGTCTTCTCGCTTGGGAATGGACATTCTGTTTAGATCTTGTATAGGAGCAATATTCTCAACCAAGTTGTCTGACTCATCCTTTTCACGTCGGGAAAACACTGATTTTTTTCCAGGAGAAATTTCACAATGGTGGTCTGAAGAGCATTTTTCTGGAGGGATATGATCTATTCGGAGAGGACAGACCCGATGACTCATCAGTTTTCTTGGTACAGAACAAGCCTTCCTATATATATCCTTTAAAATTACAGCTACCCTGTCGAGAAGTAACCA